CCAAGTCTAAAGACCAACTTGGCCACCCAAGCATTTACAAACCTAAACAGTACCATCTACGACCTCAAACTGGATTGTAAACTCTATTGCTGCTCAACCTCCGTGTGCATTTATATTTAATTTAAAAGGATTACAATATCTCATTTCATACAAGAAAAACAATCGTTTTGAATAGCTGTGCAATACCGCAGTCAAAAACCTAATTCAGATCCATAATTTTTAGCCAAAGTTCAAAAACCCAATCATACTATTTTAAACATGCTAAACATTCATAAATAATGTAAGACATAATTTAAAAGCAAGTTTTGAAATGCTCGCTCAATTTTTTGATCTAAAATAGTCAAAAATTAAAAAAAGTTAATTTTCGATAAAAGTCAACCCACATAATCCATTTAACTAATTATAAATGAATGTAAATTTTTTTTGGCAAAAAATCCCCAAAAATTGGGTCAAATTGGCCCCGGAGGCTAAAATAGTCATTTTACTACTCATTTTAATCTAACTGTTGGATCAAATTAAAATTTTACTAGGACATCCACGTGGACGTTACAGAACTTTTGACATTGACCAGAGATCGATCGGGCACCGAACACACCCACACGTGCCGTCGGGGTGTCGAACCATCCTCCAGTCAAGTTCATCTTTAACCTCAAGCCAACTAGGGTTTTTTGCAAAACAGCCCAACCCTCTCACTTCTCTACCTTATTTCTCTCACTACACTTCACCATTTCCCACATTTTTAATCCCTAAACACTCACCACATAGCCCTCTATCAAACCCAACCTTTAAATTACCACAAATATCACTTAACCACAATCAAATTCAAGTTCAAAGTTTATAAAAAAATTATTTTTCAAAAAAAAAAATGCAAACCTGCAATTTACATTTTAACCCTTTAATGACATCTAAACTAAAATCTAGCGATGGAAATGCGTTCCTTGGGCCCATTTTAGTCTAGGACCATATTCCCCCAACATCAAAACGCAAAATTTAATAAGGTTTGATTTTTCCAAAACCCTAGAAACCTTTCCTCAGTTTCACACCTCAAACGACCACCACCGCCAACCATGGTGATCCTCCAAAGCACCGCCCACCACCCTTTATAGCACCCAAAAAACTCATCCCCAAGCACAAAATCACAGCAAAACCTCAAGAATCATCAAACCCATTTCAACCCATTTTTAAGCTTGAAATTTCAAAACTAAAATTCATACATAAACAATGCTAAAAATAAAATTTAAACACCATAATCAAACTCCTAACATCCTAATTAAGCTAGTAGTATACCTTTGAGTCCTCAAATTTACCTCCAAAGAAAACTGAAAATTCAAGTTTAAGACTTTCTCGCTCTATCCTTCTCTCTCTCTCTCACCATTTCTATCCTCTCCTAATGTTGAGTGAAGGCTTAAGACCCTCCTCCAACCTTTTGGAGACTTGGAGAAGGTTAGGGAGAGCCCTGTTGCTGCTAGGCATCAGCTTGGACATGGCTACATTTGGTAATTTCTCCCAAATTCAAAAATTAATTTTTTTAAATAATTTTTTAAATTAAATATACAATAAAACATGCCCAATAATATCATTCATTTAATTTTTAGGGCTCTAAATCACCTCCAATTTCACCCTTGAATTTCACTCCCGC